ATAGTAATAGCAACGAAGAGAGAGAGAGAGAGAGAGAGAGAGAGAGAGAGAGAGAGAAGGTTGCAGTGCTATTTGTGCCAGGGCTGCGCCTGCGCGTAAGTTTTGAAACTGCTGACAATATAATAGTATAATAAATAATAAAAGGGAAAAGGAAAAGAAAATCAAAAAAATTAAATTAAACTATCATCAATTAATTAAAAATCAAATAAAAATGCTACACGTGGCGATTTTATAGAAATTTTCAAAACCTAATAAAACACTCTTCTTTATTTCGATTTTTGGAAAATTCACCTAATTTTATTCGAAATGTCATAAATTGATGTTATTATTTAATAAAAATATATATATAGTTTTTAAAGTATGTATAATAATACCAGTTTTATGCCATTAATACCATCACAGCTGGGATGTAAGTTATGAGATCTTTTGAGCTCATTTATTTAATTTTCAGTTTGAAATATCATTATATTAAGTATTAGTATTATGGGCTTGTTTGTTTTTTGGCGTTTTTGGCCAATCCGCTGTTTTAGCGGTTTTGACCAAGTTCAAAACGCCAAAATCATGTTAAACAAGTGTTTGGTTACATGGCTTTTTCCATCAGCTTTTTTAATCTAAACGCCAAAATTGAAACGCTACGGAGTGGAGCATTTTCAATTGGCTGTTTGTTATTTTAATAAAATATTTATTTGTTTAATTACCGAGAACACGTGAAGGGTTGTCTTGCATTGAATGATATTTATTTGTTTATTTCTCACATGTTGCGTGATTTATTTTTTATTTTTTATTTTTTATTTTTTTTATTTTTTATTTACTTCAATAATAACTAACCTCATAAGTTCATTTTGGTTTTTTTTTTCAAACATCAAATGTAATAAATAGCAACTTTTAGTATTTAATTAGTTATTTTACCTTAAATTTTAATAAATACAAAAACGCAATTAAAATTACTTAGTTAATAATTAATTTAATAATAATAATAATAATAATAATAATAATAATAATAATAATAATATTTGAGAAATACTTTTTTAC